GGGGCTGCCGGGACTCGGGGGCGGGGCCGGGGCGGAGCCCGCCTCACGCCTCGGAATATCCTACCATGCAGCTGCCCTTGTGTTTTGAGGTTCCCCACCTTATTTGAATGTTAAAAATTTTGACGTACGCCTAGCTTTTCAGAAATGTACGGACCTACTTGCCGGTTTTAAGACTAAATTCAGTCCTTGATAGAGCATTAAATGTGCCTTGCACGGTTTTAAGAATAGCCTCTTTTACGGCAAAAAATTCAAATTTAAGCCAGATTTTGCATAACATGCATTTTTCTATTTGCATTTTTAAACAGAAACCAAGGTGTATGTCGGTAACCTGGGAACTGGTGCTGGCAAAGGAGAGTTAGAAAGGGCTTTCAGTTATTATGGCCCCTTAAGAACTGTGTGGATTGCGAGAAATCCTCCAGGATTTGCCTTTGTGGAATTTGAAGATCCTAGAGATGCAGAAGATGCAGTGCGAGGCCTGGATGGCAAGTAAGTAAGGTGTCAGTTATGAAACTTAAATGTTGATGAGACTATTCCTGTCCTAAGCTAGGATTCTGTAGTCTGGAGGAAATTTTAGATAAATACCTAATCATTCTATTAAGACAGGAAGGGGGAGCAAAGGTGGAAATTAAAGGGCTTAGAAACATAGCTGAAGCTTGTGAGGGCAAAGGAGGAGTGGTTGTAAAGTCCCAAATCTGGAAGTCACATGAGTGGTTTTTTTTTAGCATTAGAATTTTGTTTTCTTTTATAGAGTGATTTGTGGTTCCCGAGTGAGAGTTGAACTATCAACAGGCATGCCTCGGAGATCTCGTTTTGATAGACCACCTGCCCGCCGTCCCTTTGATCCCAATGATAGATGCTATGAGTGTGGCGAAAAGGGACATTATGCTTATGATTGTCATCGCTATAGCCGACGAAGGAGAAGCAGGTATTTATTTTAATAAAGGAACGGTTGGTGTAATAGTTAATCGAGTTAATTCTTTTATTACCAAGGCAGAAATTAGTATTTTTTTCTATAAACTTGAATGTTAATTGTACAGGTGTATTTTACAATTTTTGTTTAATTAAATAAATGTTAATATATTAATAATCAACCTGGTCAAAACCTTTCAGGTTTCTTCGTTTGAGTCAGTCGCCTTGATTCAGAATGTCACGAGCCTTATGATATCATGCTGAGGCGCCTTGCAAATCCGACAATTAAGATCCTCCTAGACCTTGAGGTGATCAGCATAAGAGGCCAGATCCCCTCGAGTCATCTACACCTAGCTTCACCTTATTCTTTAAAGGGCAGAAAATTTGAGACGGTGATCGCCGTAACAGTAAATTTGGCTTACAATTGGGGCCCCCTCCGGTTTAGAAAGAGGAACACCAGATTGACCACATTCCCAACTAGAAAAATCTTCTTGCGTCAATCAAGCCTCATCTGGCTCATTTGGCTGTCAGTTTGATCGTCGTTAGATTGAAGAAAACATCTAGATGCAGCGATCGGCTATAGATACTTCTAGATCGTCTAGATCTACTAGACCATGGGCCAAAGAGGGTCGACCTGCAAACTTGCAAGGTTTATTTTAAATACACATTATGGTGTTTTATATTATGTAATTCTAAAATGTAATTGAGCTTTTAACAAATCTTTTTTTAGGTAGTTAAAAAAAACTAATAGGCCCAGAGTTTATTTCCAAATGAGACACTAAATTAAAATAGTTTTGAGATTTGATTTCAGCAGAGGCACACAAACTCTAAAGACGAGTTACCATCTGACATTTTCCTTTTTTCTGACTTGAAAAATAGGTCACGGTCTAGATCACATTCAAGATCCAGAGGTAGGCGATACTCTCGCTCACGCAGCAGGAGCAGGGGAAGGAGGTGAGAGATCTTGTTTAATTCAAGTTGTCAACATGATAAAAAAAATAATTGGAGATGGACTTAAACTACTTTGACTTAATTTTTAGATCAAGATCAGCATCTCCTCGACGATCGAGATCTGTGTCTCTTCGTAGATCAAGATCAGCTTCACTCAGACGATCTAGGTCTGGTTCTATAAAAGGATCGAGGTATTTCCAGTATGTAACATTTTTGTTTCCCCTCATTTGTATTTGGATTGTCACGTCTTAATGACAGCAATGGAATGTCTTAAGGACATAATTGAAATGGAATGCTGCAGAAAATATTTGAAATTGAGAAGTTGAAATTATACATGTACACATGATGAGAAAAGCCCAACTAAAGATTTAATAAGAGTTGTTACAGAAGCTGTGGTAGAGGAGGATCCAGAGCACAAATCCTCATATCATTCCAGCGAACACTTGGGTTAAACATGTTGAAAACTTTCGGTTGTCAGGTGGTATCTGTTGTGCAGGTAAAAGATACTAGCTCTAAAAGATATTTGACTGATTCCTCATAAGAAGGGCCATTAGGACAAGGAAGAGATTTAGAATTAGAAGGAGTTTCCTCTTTTTTGGAATGATAGGGTGAGTTTGAGACCATGGAAAGTTGTTTAGGGTAATAGTATACATAAGGGTGAACATGGCCTGTTTCACCACTTAGGTGAGACACTGAAATTTAAGTTAAAAATCAAACTAGACACCTCAGAAGCTTTTAATCACTTTGTAGAAGGCTTTAAAAGGTGATAGAAATGGATACAATTTTAAAAAAGTTGTTGACGGTGCTACCCCAGGATGAGTCAATGGTAGGGAATGCTACTGGGAACTAACTGCTATTCAGTAATAGCACAAAGTCCTTTGGTGCAGGGATTCCAAAACTTGTGGTCCATTTGAAAAAACTCTGGACCTTCTCCAGATAAATGCATTTAATTTGACTGGAAGACCTCAGGCTGTGTCTGTTAGCCTGATTTGGTTTGTCTGACAAATTGATGGTCCTGGACCATGATAGTTTATTGATGATTCAAGAAAAATTTTCAGCCTTGGCACGTCTTGACTTTTTTTTCATTGAGCTTACCACCTGAAGAAATTTTCAGTTCAGCAGTCTACAAGAGGTTGATTTCTTTTAAGATAAAATCATACCAGTTTTCTCCTGAAAACCATTTACTTCTCTTGGATACTACACAGTGTTTTAAGAATACTGTACTGTGGTAGAGGAACTGACAACCCAGCTCCACTGAGGATGATAGATAATTGAAATGGTAGTTCTTTATTTGATAATAGGTTATCAAAAGTGATTATTTGTCCGATCTTAGACTGATAAAAGGCATGTTGCTCAGTTTTAGCCCCTCTATTTTTAGCCTACTTAGTAAGGTACTCAGTAGATGTTTAAGTAGATGACTCTTATGGACTAATTGGTATAATTGTATTTGTTTTTCTTTTTATTAAGATCCCGATCCAGGTCGAGATCAAGATCGAGGTCTCTTTCACGACCAAGAAGCAGGTAGAGTAAAAATCTCATTGATACTCTTCTAGTTATATGGCACCAATATCCAAAGAGTTCAAAGTGTTTTTGAGTTGTTGAAATTTCAAGTGTTAGCTCTAAGCCAGATGTTAAGTAGGAATATGGCACTTCATTAGTAAATCTAAACTTTAGAACTTCCTTTTTTACATGGCCTATTTTAGCTGACTTCTTGGACAAGGGCATGTTAAACTAGTGAGAAAGATGTTGGTGAATTTGGGGTTATATTAAGAGGCCCATGTTAGAACTGATAAGATGCATGGAGAAGAGTTCTGAGATAATTGTGCTTTAAAGCAGTGTAAAGGATTGGTTGTGATAAAATCAGTTCACTCATTTGATGAAGAAAAGTTACTGGAAGATTGGATTTTTGTTGACAAAAGCTGGTAGGTTATTTTTCAGTTTAATTGCAGCCTGACGTTGAAAGTTCAGGACAGTGTGGGGGTTTATTTTATGGTATTGTGACTTAAGAAGGGGGTTGGATAGTACTTTTTCTTAATAGAATTTCTCATGTTTTGACAGCCGTTCAAAGTCCAGATCTCCATCTCCAAAAAGAAGGTAAGCTAAATTTATTTGTTGCCAAATCTTAACTGTGCAGAAAAACTTCAGAATATTTGCTTACTGCCTACTTTTGCAGGCTTTGAGCTCTTTGGAGAATTGGTGCTATATACATCAAAATACTAGGTACAGAGTTTCTTAGACCTCCCCCAAACCCCTAAAATTCAAATAGTTGTTCTCTTTAACTAAATTTTGTAATTTTAGCAAGGAGTCTCTTAAGCCTTAAGTAATTTTTATATTTCTGCTACAGGAACTTACTACTTTTGGCCACCTTTGAGTTTATTGAAACTTGAGTTTTGACAATGTATGTGATAAGAGTAAGTTTCCGTAGACACTAATTGATTCCAAACCTGATGTTTTTCTTTTTAGTCGTTCCCCTTCAGGAAGTCCGCGAAGAAGTGCAAGTCCTGAAAGAGTGGACTGAAGTTCTCAAGTTCACCTTTTAGGGAAAAGTTATTTTGTTTACATTATTATAAGGGATTTGTGATGTCTGTGTAACCTAGGGAAGGGTATTTTCAACCATCTAATCAGAATGGATCTGGACTATTACTGTGTAAATTCACAGCAGTAAGATAATATAAATTTTTGTTGAATGTATTAACATCCTATGGTCTGAAAATGTGGGTTTTTATTTGGCACATTTAAATAAAATGTTTCTAACTAGATTTTTGATTTGTGTTCCATATTAATACTCAATTTGGTAAACTTCAGGAGTCAATATTAACTATGTTTATGCAGACCTACGTTCAAACTTAATGGTGTTACTTAAGTCTTGAACATCACTAATTAGTATACATACATATAAGAAATTCTTTTTTACCCTTAGAGCTTTGGTTAAGAACTTGAGTCCTCCTTAATTTTGCATCATGACAATTCCAATTCTTTTGGAGTTGGTGTTACTAGAACGACAGGAACTAATAATGAGTTTTTAAATGTGGTTTATAAGAAGTAGTGGACCTGATGTTGGAGACTGAGTTTTTTGAAGGTTATTTTACGTACATTAACTGAGGTTTTCAGGCTGTTACATGGGATGGTGTCAAATTAGAGCTCCTCATTTTAGGAAGTTCATTCTATTCAATGTTCTTTGTTTTCAACATAACCAGTTTTATACCAAAATTTTTGCATGTTTGAGGAATTGTCTGAGTTTGGGGCAAAACATCTTGATGTAAACCAGCTTTGCAAAATTTTCCAGTCCAGATACTCTTCTCTGTCCCTTAAAATAGATTGCCTTACTCTGAGCAGAGATCTGTTAGTTCCCAAGCTAGGTTTTTTTCAGTTCCCGAACACCACCATACTTGATCTCATTTTGCCAGGCTGGTGCAAAGTAATCAAAGATGTCAATCAGAAATGTTAATGAGACAAAAGCAGTTTTGTAAATCCCACCTATATTTAGCAACACTTCATGTAGTTATTTTCTGGTAGCACCTGGTAGACCTTAGAATGTTAACAGCCAGTCGATTCTTTATTCTGACTTTAAATATCTTACATATAGTAAGGCAGTAATAGTTTGAGTTTTCTGGTCAAGCTTTTACCAAGTATTCTCTAGCCTTGGTGCAAAAAGAAAAAAAAGCTGGTGGCACAGCTATCTGCCCTTGTTTCTTGTGCTTTTAAACAAAGTTATTGGGTGGCATTGCAATTTGAAAATACTGATCTGCCTCATTTATTTAGTGGTCTAAATGATCACTAGTATGTTGGAAGTTTGGATGCTTTGTTTTTGGAATTTTGACAATTGGCTGCTTTATATGGTTGGTATAAAGCTATGTGTGTAATCAGCAGGCTTATTTGTTGCACTTGGTCAGCTTTAATTGTTCTGTATATATAAAGATAAGTTTACTCAACAATAAATCTGCAGAGAATAAACAGTCCTGATACTCAATTTTTCCAAGTGGGAGATTTGAGCCAAGAGGAGAAATCCATTAATCCTGTGGCTTTGGGATGGATTACTAGCAGCATCCTAGAGATTAATATGAAAGGATATGGAGGAGAGGTAGGGGCAAAAATGGCTTTTAGATAAAAAAGTTCTTTTTCTTAATGGGGAAAGGGAATACTGGGTATATAGGCCAATACCTTTTGTACCGTTGATTGCAAATCAGTAAGTCCTCCTGTGTTTAGTATACATCTTTAGATGATAACACTGGTGCAGTGCATCTTTTTTCTTATTTTTAGAAGTTGAGACTGCTTACATTGATTGTGATTGACTTGAAAAGTGCTGGTCCAGACTCATTTTAAATTTTAAACATGGCACTAATGGGTAGCTAATTGAACACATCAGATGCTGTTTTGGGTGTATGGCCTTAGTTCTCTCCTAGGCATTGAAGAGGTAAGTACATAACCTTCACTTTGATAGTTCTCCCTTGGACTTTAAAACTAGGCTAAGTATTAAGCTGAGGTGTGGTCCTATCATCTTTCCATGTTTCCTTTCCTGAGGACAAAGAAAATCTGAGGGGGTCTTGAAATACTATCAGTTTGAGATTCTGGGTTAAATGAACTGGTAGTGTGGGATTGTGATTTTTGTCTTTATGTAGCCTATCTTGAAGTCTAAAGGAACCCTGATTTCTAAGATGTACTAAGCTGATAGGAGTTGGAAGCCCCCAAACTGGCAGGGTGGCCAGGAGTTATTAGTGAAAGATAGTAGCAAAGAACTAATTAGAGCTGGCTCTGAGCAGCTGTTTCTTGGAGACCTTTGTAGGGGAGGGCTGTGTAACGTGGAGGATGTACACATAGCTGTAAAGACAGGGTGAAGCAAAGAAGGTCAAAGTAGCAAAAAATACTAAGGGCCTGGCTGGTCTTGGAGTGTTTGGAGGGTGGTGGAACTGGTGACAAACCAAATAAATAAGGCAAAGATCCCTAGGTTTATGATACGGTAGAATTAAAGCTGTTACATCCAGAACTATACTAAGGCCAGTGAGGGGGCAGGGGAGAGCACCAGTAGCCAGTTTCGACGTCTGATAAATCTTTTTGACACCCTACAGGTTTACAGTTAACCATTCTAGTAAAAATGTCGAAGGACGTCACTTAATCCTCACCTCACAACGAATTAGTACTGTTAAACCTCATCTCACAGAAGAGGAAATGAGCTCAGAGAGATTGGTAACTTAATACTATACTATTAATCTGCTAGGAGGTAGAAGTTTGAATCATACCTGTGGTTTCAGCTCTTTTGCTTTTTTAATCAATGAAGCACCTAACTGCTCCTTTAAAACAAAACCACATGAAAAAGTCAAAGAACAAAATAACCCTTGGTGTCTTACCTATTGTATACCATAGTTAATAACTTGGCTAATTTCTTCTTAGACTTAATGGGGAAAATTTGCTGGATGACTCTGGAGCACATGGAATGCAGTAGTCAATTAATTGTTAAGCTCTCAAGGCCACTTCTCAAAGTAGTGGTTTTTCCTTTGTTGCATACTATTTAGTTGCCTGGATGTTGTATAATTTATGCAGTAAACTTTTGTGCCCCTTCAGTATGCCAGGTACTGCTAGCCTTGGAATGCAGAAATGAAGAGTCTTTACCTTCATGGATCTTAACTTCTGGAGAGACAAATGAACGAATACCAGGTGGGTAATAACTGATACGGAGAGTAATGAAGCAGAAAGAAGGCTAGGGAGTTGGTTGCTGTTGTGTTAAGGGTGGCCTGAGGAAGCCTCTGATAGTGACAGCAATGAGCAGGTGAGGGAGTAAGGCACACCAACTTCTGAGGGCATGGTACGAACAAAGGCCTAGAGTAGTTTGAGCTGTTGGAGGGTAAGGAGGCCAGCAGGAAGTGGACAGGAGAGTGTGGGAAGAGATGGCATAGGAAAGGAGGGGGATGTAGATCATGGAGGACTTTGTATGCCTTGGAAGGGACTATCTTGGAGAGTTTTTGAGCAGAGTAACAGGAATTCAGTCAGTTCCCTATTGATGGATATGAGGGTTGTTTCTAATTACTATTACAATTCTGCAGTGAATAACCTTGTACAGTACATTACAAATGTGACCCTGTGTATCTAGGATAATCCCTAGAAGTTGAATTGCTGGGTCAAAAGTTCCATGCATTTGTATTTTTATTAGGTACTTATTACTCGCCCTGGTGGAAATGTGTAAGAGGGCCTGTTTCTCTGTACCATTGCCCATTTGGTACACATGGTGTAGCTACATGGTGGGCTATCAACCTTGTTGATTTTTACCAATCTTGTGTTGAAAAATCGTATCTCAGCAGTTTGTTTTAATTGTGGTAAAATACATGTTTTCCCCTCACTCTGGAAAATTGCCATATATTCAAAAGTCTGTTTTAGGTTCCCTTGCTCTTAACACACTGACCTTCTCTAGTAGGACTCCTGTTTACACTGTAATCACCTGTTTACTTACGTGCAGATATGCTACCACAACACAAATTGTGACAGCAGGTACCAGGCCTTGTGCTTTTTTTTTTTCATTGCCTAGTGCTTATTAACACTTAAATATTTGATGAATGAAAAGTGAATTCATGGATGAATGAATGAATTCTTTTAAGCCAAACAGAAAATTAGAAAAACCGCCTCTCTTATTTGAGACTTTTATTATTAATCACCATTTCAGTTAAAAGCCCACATTTTCATTTTAACTGCCTGTAAGACTGACTCCTATGTGAATTTGCCTGCAGAGTATTTAGATCCTTAGGCTGCTGTTTATAATGCCCAGCTCTATTCTGCAACTCTAGTGCAAGGTTTTTATCCCTTCATCCGGGTTAACTCTCAGACTTCTACTTAGAAAGGGTGTGGAAAATTTCTGTGCAGAAAGGGTGCAAACTTACTTACCACCCCAAGAATTGGTGAGCCCAGGTGAGTCTTCCATTTCTTTGCCTAAAGTTATGTCCTATCTACCTCTGAGACTTCTCTGGGTTCTTAATGACTAAAGCTTGAAGGTGGCTAGGTGTGATCCTATACAAAGACCCTGTTTTTATTTTGGTTTATATCTCCAAGAAATCTGGATTCTAGAAAATGGATCCTTTCACTGCCAAGGATAAAAAAATCTGGCTGTAAAGAAATAACATACGTGACAGAGATAAAGGTAGATGGATGGGTTTATCTTGGTCATTGTCTTAGAGGACCATCACCACGGTTTCTGGGCCCCTGTAGCAAGAGTGTACCTCCCTCCTTTGCCTAAGGATGGGTACACTGTTACAGGGGCAGAGCTGAGTAACTGCTTCAGACTAAGTCCCAGAAAGCTTAAAATACTTAACTCTCTGGCCCTTTACAGAAAATGTTTGCCCACCCCTGGTTTAGACATTTCTCTTTAACTGTTTACAATCTTCAAAATAATTATCTCTGAAGATCTTGGGTCCCAGGATTATCAGTAGGGTTGCCAGGGCCTTACCAAGGCATACTTTTGGTCTAGGAAGATTTTTTTGTGTGTGTGTGACTCATTCTGGAGGAAGTGCTTCCTGAAGCTAGAGAGCAAATTCTAGCTAAACACATTAATGCACTTAAGATATTGGTGAATGTTACTAGGGCAGTGGTTCTCATCCCCAGCCGCGTATTAGGGTCACCCCAGGAGCTTTAAAACCTTCTAATGAAGTCAGAATTGCTGAGGGTGAAGCTGGGCATTAATATTCTAAATGTCTCCCTTGGTAGTGCTAATACACAACCAGAATGAGAAACTGCTGCTGAGGGGGTTAGTGTTAGCGTGCTCCTAGTTCCCTAGTTATTAGACAGACTGACCTGGCTTACTGCTATTATAAGAAAATTAGCAGCACTCACATGGGATTCAAAGGAAGATTCTACGATATATCCTCTAAGATTCTCTGATACTTTCTCTAACCAAATAATCCTGGAGTGTAACCTTTCTATGCAAAAGGAGTTTATATTAGTACCAGTAGAGGTCACTGTGCTCAGAGAAATACTTTTTAAGAAAGTTAATACTCTGTTCAAGAAATTTGAAGGAGTATTTACCAGACCCAACAATAAGGCAACTCCAGACATGGCCTCTGGTCACAATTGCTTCAAAGCATCTAAGGCTCTGTTAACATGCATGAATGCATTTATGATTATTATATCTTCCTGATGTGTTGATGCTTTTATCATTATAAAATCGCTCTCTAGTACTGTTTCTTTAAAGTCTTTTTTCTGGTATTTAGCATAGCCACTCCACTAATTTTATGATTACTGTTTGTATGGTATATCTTTCCCATCCATTTACTTTCAGCTTATCGACGCATACACAGCCGACCCTTGAACAGTGTGGCTTTGACCTGCATGGCCCACTTACACGCAGATGTTTTCTTCAGTAGACACTGCATACGTACTACGGTACTGCATGATCCCTGGATGCAGAACTGTGGATGCAGGTGGCTGACTGTAGAGTTATATATGGGTTTTTGATTTGGGCAGGGGATGTTGGGGAGTTGTTCAGGGGTCAGCTGTAGTTGCTAGATCTTGCTTTTTTAGTTCAGTCTGACAAACTGTCTTTTGGGTTGTTTAAACCATCTACATATAACAACTGTTGGAATGTTTTGGATTTACAGTTGCCATTTTGTTGTTTTCTATATGTCTCCTGTTTCTCTTCTTTTTACTACTTTATTTTACATTAAACATTTTTTTTTTAGTGTACCATTTAAATTCCTCTTGATTTTTAACTTTATTTTTGAGTTATTTCCTTTGTGGCTGTACCTTAATATATCACAGTCTATTTCGGGTTAATATTCTGGTAAAATATAGAAATTTTGCTCCCATATATTTTCCTTTCCTGAACTTCCCTCCCTTGTGCTATGTATATGTATTATAAACTCGAGAAAATAGACATTTACCACTTTTGATAATAACTCATTACCATGGATACAAGTTACTGTCTTCATTTCCTTTCAGCATGAAAGACTTCCTCTGGTATTTCTTGTAAGACAGATCTGCTAGCAAGGAATTCTCTCGTTTGTTTATCTGGGAACGTTTTTGTTTCACTTTTGCATTTGAAGGGTAGTTTTGGGCAATACAGAATCCTCGGTTTTTAAGCACATTGATTATGTCATTCTGCTGCCCCCAGGACTCCACTGTCTGAGATGAGAAGTCAGATGTTAACTGTATTGGTGATCTTCTATAGTGATAAGCCATTTCCTTTTGCTTTCAAATTTTCTTTTTGCTTTTTTGGCATTTAACAGTTTAAATATGATGTGTCAATTGGGAATCTCTTTGTATTCATCCTTCTTGGACTTTGTTCAGCTTCTTAGGTGTACAGAATAGTGGTTTTTGTCAAATTTGGAGAGTTTTTTGCCATTATTTCTTGAAATATTTTCTGTCCTTTTACTCTCCTTTTGGGACCCTCATTACACGCATGTTGATGTGCTTGCTGTCCCACAGGTCTCTGAGGTTCTTTCCCAATTTGTTCTGTTTTTTTTCCTCTGTTTTTCAGATTGAATAATTTCTACTGATGTACCTTCAAGTTCATGTATTCTTTTTTCTGCCATCTCGAATCTGCTCCTGAGTTTCAAGTGAACTGTCACTTGTTACTGTACATTTCAACCTCAGAAGTTTCACTTGGTTCTCTTTTATAATCTCTTTGGTATTTTTTTTTAATCTGTGTGTTTATTTTAAGCTCTGCTGTTGAGGGGTTGCCGTGAGCAGAGCTTGTTTGGTGGTCAGCATAACTGCACAGAAATTGTGCTCCAACACCTCAGCCAGTCAGATTTCTGCCCTCTGCTGATGGGGCTGTGTGTACACAGGGAGTGGATTCAGTCCTTAGGCTGTTTACAAGTCTGCTCTAGCTTTTACTCTCTGCTAAGTTCCCTTTAATTTCCTCTGCACGTGCATGTGTTTAGCCTCTGATCACCCAGAAATCTGCTTGCTCCAATCACAACTGCAGCCTCAGGCTAATACAGCCATCAGCCCTCCCTGCTCACAGTAGCACCAAGGTCATCATTTCTGTTGACAAAGCAGTCGGGTATGGGTATCACCTACCACTCCATACTGGGAACCCCCTTCAACCATAGCCATCTGCTGGTCGTCATAATTCTGCTGCGGCTTGGCAGAAGCTCCAGTGACTAGGCTGAGGGAATAAAGGGAAGGGAAGCAACCCCAGGCAAGAACGCCACAGTTTTCTGCTGTTCTACCCAAAGTTCGGTTTTCCAAACATAAACATGTCTTGGATTGTTATATGTTTTGGGTCAACTTCCAGAGCACCAAAACTGTTTTGTCAATTTTTTTCAGCATTATAGTTGCTTTTTTGAGGAGATTGGCTGACCTTACTTGGGAATAGCTGGTAGTGCTACCCAGAGCATCTGAGATGTTTATTATCATTTGAGTAATTTAATTGGAGGAGAGTTGGAACTTAAAGGGAGAAGATAAATGCCTCAATTGGAAAAGGACTGCGCTCAGGTCAAAACTACCCATATAGCCCACTGCAAACTTAAGATCCAGTTGTTTAAAATAGTTACAACCAATCATGGGAACTGGCTAGGGAACAGGGTATATATATGCTGTATTTCCCTCCTGTCTTCTGCTCATAGTACTAGAATTTCTCATGTTCTACTTTTCACAAACTATCCACTTATTCATTGACACTGACATTCTTTATTCTTCTGAGATTGGATTATCAGTGGTCACCTAACGGTCACAACACTTCAGCCTCCACAGCATGCCATCTTAGTTAGACTTTACAGCAATATTTGTGCAGTTATTACATCTCACCTTGTTAGACAAAATGATTGGGAACTGGAAAAATGAAAATCTGATAGCTAATGATAAGACGTTAAGCCATATGAATTTGAAACAAACAGGAATCCATAAATCATTGAACTGAAGTCAGTGATATGCTCACCTGGGAAAGGTCAGAACTCAGCACTACAGCACTAGTCTGGTCGTGGGTGGGGGTGTGTGCTGAAGAAGGCATGGACTCAGTGGGGGCTGGAGGCTTATTCTTTCAGGGAGGGGTTGCATTAGAGTGGGTATTTGCATTTTCAAACAAGGCTTAAATAATTCTGTAATTATATATGGTGTTTTTCATATTGAATACCATGTTTTTTTCCCACCACCTCACATGAATTGTATCAGTGGCCAGGTTTAGGTTTAGTTCCAACCTGCAGCCGTATACTCACTTCCCAGATAATTAAAGTCTAATCCCTTTGCCTCACAGGTGAGAAAACTGAGGCCAAGAGAAATCGGATTGTTTGCCCATATAGAAAAGGCCAGGAGCAAAGTTAGTGCTCAGGGCTCCCAACTCTGTCATGGTGCAGTTCTTCATCATCTAGTTTTAACTGCTACTCCTGTCTTCCCCAGAGAGACTGATATCCCTAAGGAACGTACTGCATCTTGGACATTACCTCTTGAATCCCTTAAAAGACCTAGCAGAGAACTGTGTACACAATAGGTAATGAGAAAAAACATGCTGGAATGAATTAAAAAATAAACACTATCTTTGGTTTACTGTTGCTAAGAGAGGAGAAGTACACTTTTTAGGTAGTTTTCTAGCAATTTGATGGGGCTTATATTGGAATACATAGTACAGTCTAGAACACACCATATATACTTGGTCCATTTCTCAAAGGTCCATGACTGACAGATCTAAAGACGAGTAAAGAAACTGGGAATCTTCTGAAGGTGCAGATTTTGGTTTTATTTCAACTGATTGTTAGTGTATAATAGTGTAAGACACATTTCTTTAAAAGCCACCAACCCAAACCCATCACTGTTGATGCAGTTGTTCAGGAAAGGAAGGAGCCCCCCTGTCTCAGTTACATAATACAACGTCTGCTTCAGGTGCAATGTGCAGTCCTCAACTAAGGTCCTTTCTTCACAGTAACACAGCTAATGTCTCCAACAGCTTCCTTCCCATGCCTTGGCTGGGCTAGGCTTTCTCAGTTAACCCCAAAGACAGAGACTCAAAATTACAGATTCTTCCTGGATATTTTGATCCTGCACTTTTAAGTCCTACCATGAGTAAGGCACACAGACAGTTAAACTCAGACTAATGCTTCTTATAAAAGTGAATCTTGGAGGAAAGGCTGGCTCTAACAGAGTAAGGGTCAGACCCCTCTTTGTCCATCAGGGACCCAAGAAATGCTCTGGAAGACTAAAGTGGAGGCAGAGAAGGGGACTTGAATTCACATGACCTGACCTCAAGTCCTGGCTAAAATTTTTCCTAGCTGGGTGCCTTTATAGGTGGGTCATTTAACCCTCTCTAAGTCCCAGCTGGCTCACTTCTCAGTCTACTGCCTTAATAAGGCAGAGATATCCCTCTGCCAGCATGTTGCATGAGCTCAGTGAACTCTGAAACCTAAGTGCTGCACAGGGCAAAGTGGTTTGAGGTAGGGAAGGAGGGAAAGAAAAGGAATGAGAGTAGGATCAAAGGAAGGGTGAGAAGTAGAAAGAAACAGGAAGGGTAGAGAGATGGAGCTAACAGAGCACAAGGAGCCTGGGTACCACTTCTAGGCTAGGGTCAGTGCTTAGATGATGACATTGGTGGTTGGGACCTCTTCACTACACAGAACAAAACTGGTCATTAGACCTGGCTTAGAGCCAGTCATTGGAAAAGAAAATCGATATTCAGACTGATGATCATGACAGCTACCATTTGTATGATTTTAATTCACCAGATCACATTTAGCGCCTCTAAATCTTCATCTCATCTCTGCATAGGAGACAGGCTGCTGGAGGGGGTCCCAGCCTGGCCCTGGAGCAGGTCTTCACACTTCCTTAAGCCACAGAAAACTTGAACCAAGTGGTGTGGTCATAGTCCTCGCCAGGCTTCAGCAGCACAGGAGGGAAGTGGGGCTGTGAAGGGGAAAACAATACAGGATACACCTTGCCAACTTGGGTTGGGTTGTACCCTTAACCATTTAGGATGGCTTCTGAACTGGTCTCTAGACCAGCTCTGAGAACCAGTTGCCAGTGTAAGAGCTATTTATTACTGGTTTGCAATGAGATAAGGAACTTGAGCCAGAATAAAAACCATCCACATCACTAAGTATGCTTTGTCACAGCGAAGACTTTCTTAATGAAAGAAGCAGTGTTGATTTACATTCTGGTGTAAACTGCAAGTGTCTTATGGGCTGGAGCTTTGAGAAGCATTACTCTAGCAATAACTAGAAAAGAAAGTTCAGAAGAAGCAAATAAGAAAATATGGAGGATCATCTTAATCATGTGGCTGCATAAAATTAGTAGGTATTGACAAGGAGAAACATTAAATTGCAGAAAGACTTTGAAGGTATAAACTACAAGATTTTTAGCGGGGAGGGTATATCTCAAGTGGGAGTGCACGCTTAGCATGCCTGAGGTCCTTGGTTCAATCCCAGTATCTCCTCTAAGCATAAATAAATAAACCTAATTACCTACCCCCTCCAAGAAAAAATTAAAAATTTTTTTTAAATACGAAATTTTTTAAAAAACGTGACTGCCATGTTAGTAACTTGACTGTTTCCTGTGCTTATCATGACTTAGAGAAAAGAATACACACAGACTTCTGAATCACACAGACCTGACTTGTGTCGTGACCTCTGTCATGTGGTGTGACCTTGGCTACAATACCATTTTGACAAATTGGCCTGTGGATTTACCTGATTGACTGCATCAGGCCAGTTCTGAGTCTCGAGGCAGAAACCGGAGTGCTTGGGATAGACCGCTCCACTCTTGCCCTTCAGCGTGCCGTCCAGGAAGTTGCCCGTGTAAAACTGCACCCCAGGCTGGGTGGTGTACACTTCCAGTACCCGCCCACTTCCAGCATGATGGACCCTGGAGATAAAGCCAGAGCACATGTATATGTACAGGTTCAGGGTGGAAAAGCAGGCAAGGACACAGAAGTTGGGAGGCAGCTTTGAGACAGGAATCAGACCCAGTCACAGAGCAGGGACAAGGTGGGGGAAGGGGGGGATACATTCATCTGAGGAATAGAAGCTTTGAAAAGACATGGGATGTGGTACTTGGTCCCCTGTAGTAACGTAAATGGCATGGACATAGCCAGAGGAAAAGCTCCCCAAACAGAAGTTGGTATCTCTCCTTCCTAAAAGAGGCAGCAAGTGAAAAGTACCTACCGTGCACAAAAATGCTTTTCTTTAGATCCCTTTAGACAGAAATTGTGGTCAAAGCCATTGATGTGGAACTCCTGCAGATGTTTTCCAAGCTCCACTGGCTTCCTCAGGTCAAATGCAGTTCCTTGCACTGGAGCAACTTCTCCTGGTGGAAAGAGGCAGAAAAAAAGAGTGATAAATGCCTAAATAAAATCTTTATATGTTAAAGACCCACTAGTTCTACCCTCTCAGCCTTCAGTTCAATTTGTAAAGGTGATAGGAACCCAGATTCTAAGGAGAATAAATTATTGGGTTTCCTTAATTGTAAGATGCTATTGATTGCAAGATGCAGTAGCTATAACATTCATAATCATTCAAGTGTGAAAACAGTACAAAAATCAAGGAAACGCATAATTTTCATTAAGGAATGAGCTGGATAAAGGGTTGTCCTAACCGTTGAGTCAATCACCCTGAAGACATTTCTTGCTTTAATGCTGAAATATCTCAGGGCTCATAACCAAGCTTGAGCACCTGGCACTGGCTAACCAGATGCTTAAAATGCCCCTGAGATTAGTGGTTCTCAAACCATTTGGCGCCATCAGTAGCCAAAGGGACACTGATAACCACTCTCCCCTAATCACTTCCCTGATCAGTCTGTAAATGCTAAGCCTAGGAGGGGGCTGTTAATAATAACACTGGGACAAATGAGTTAACAGGGACAGTTTGGGGCAAACTAAGATATATGGCCACTCTTCTATTAGCCAATTTTAGATTCAATCCTTTGAATGAAAGCTTTGTCTCTAGGAGTGATTCCTTGGAAGAGTTAGAGTTGACAAGCACTGCCCCCATCCTGTTTGTAAGCCAGATTCTTCAACCTGTAAGGGCAGTGTATTTGTCCTTATCAAGGTGGGACATTCTGAAGCCTCTTCACAATGATATGGGTGGGTGGCCAGTCCTGAGGGAGGACACTGCTGTGTGAGGACCCTCAATTCTTAAAGGGCAAAGCATAGAAGGAACCTGGATAGGAGCCCCACCCTGGTGGTTATTATATAACCAACGATGCCCAATCAAGAACATCCCTTTGTGGTATTACAGAACTCAAGGGTGTTGGGACCAGAAGAGTTCTCAGAGCTCACCTGGTCCAAACCACTCGTGTAACAGATGAGGAAACAGACCCACATACTTGATACATCAAACAACAACCTGTGATGTTGATATACTGTATGTCATCAACTTTTTGTGTGTGTGGAGAGGGGGAGGCAATTGGGTTTTATGTATGTTTTTTTGATGGAGGTATTGAAGACTGAACCTAGGACTGGATGCTAAGCATGCACTCTACCACTTGAGCTATACCCTCCCACCTGTATGTCATCAACTTAAGACACTCATTTTCATATTTTAAAATTTCTGAAATCATGTCATAGTTTAACTGGCAGAGGTGTTTTTTTTCCTTCATGGTATGTAAAATAAGGGTGAACTTTACAATTGATGGCATCTTAGAGTTGATAAAATACGTGAAAACAGTTTAGCACGTCTTCTGCTCTACTAAAACCACTGAAATCAGGGCCTTGAGTGTGAAAAAGAGGAATCGGGATTATCTTGTAATTTCACTGGAGATCCAAAGGAGAGAGAGAATTTCTCAACAGACAGTCGTCTAGACACATTTGCCGAAAGGCTACAATAGGGGCTTTACATTCTTCTGAATATTGTGCCATTTGGCTTTACCAGCTTTCCTTCTCCTCCTAACTTTCGGGTCTGTTCTTCGCTAGATGCTAGGCCGAACCATCTCAAACAGGGTATGCTGGTATTTTGAACTTAGTTAAGAAAGCCTAGGAAAAGTGAGGAAGCTTCCTCCTGGTCGGAATATTCTTGGAATGTATCAGAGCTAGAGCAGTGGACTAGGAGCCATTCACCAAGTCACTCTTTTGGTTGATCAACACTTAATAAATACCTACTGTATGCCAGGCACTCTGATGGGCAGGGACACTACATAGGTAAATGAGACAGGGAACCTGCCTTCTTAAGCCACTTGTCTGGAGGAGGGAATGGACATAAAAGCAGCTCATGATCCTAAGAGTGTGAGGAGTGCTCTAGTAGAAGCACAGCTGTAAGAAAGAAGGCAGACAGTGGGACTGGGCTGGCTTAGATGTGGCAGACTAGGGAGATGTCACGGATGAAAGTAAAAGTGGTCAAGCTGAGACCTGAGGTGAGATCATATTAGGTTGAATGGGCGAAGAAGGTTGAATAATATTCGATGTGGAGGAAACAGCTTGAGTACAAGGGGTGTGTGTGTGTGTGTGTGTGTGTAGTGGTGGTGTCAAATGCCTCAGATGAGGAAAGAGATTAAGTTAGATGGAGTCATGTCTTTGAGCCTAGGGTTTTTCATCAGTATGACAAATAAGCTAATTTATCACTGACTTTCAGCCTCCACCTCACTGCTGCCAAATTAATTATGTCAGAGGGAAGCTCAATACACACATAAAATAAATATACATATACAGTTGACCCTTGAACAATGTGGGTCTGAAATACATGGGTCCACCTATACACGGATTTTTTTCAATAATACTTAGCTACAGTAATGCACTGTCCTTGATTGGTTGAATCCGCAGATTTGAAGGGCTGACTATATATAGATTTTCAACTGCATGGAGGTTCGGTGTCCCTTGTTCAAGGGTCAACTGTATACAATATAAAATACATAAATATAAAAGCCAGAGTGAAGCCAGTACAGGCTCTGAGCAGCAGAGCTGGCAAACCCTGGGAACAAATGACAGCAGAGGCGCACACCACCCAACCCTCTAAAAGTATGACCCGCTTAGGAGTGAGAAGCCCCTGGTCCTTGGATCTTGCCCCAGATACGAAGAATCCCAGGCTCCTCTGCAGCAGGCAAAGCAATCTGGCCAATCTTTTTCAAGGGGGAAAGAAGAAAGGGACTCTGTTTCAGAGCCTTACACAATGATACAGTTTAGTCCCTTTAAGAGCTTTTGTATTGTCCCAGAACTGTATCATATATTTTAAAGGTAAGTACAAACATTAGGTATTTAACATACTTTTTTAGGGTGAGTTATTTTCCCTTTCATGTGGTCAGATGGAGATGTTTTAGGAACTTGGTTTTCGCTATTTTTAGAGGAGAGATATAGCATGCAAAGTGGGGCTGGACTCTTCGGAGGCTAAGGAAAATCAGGAACTTGTACCTTACCTTTTAAAGAATTAAATGAGTAAAAGGAGAACTGACTTTTAGTCATTTAAAGCATTTGGTTCTGCTTCTGTGAGTTCCTGAATACTGAGAAGAAACATGAACCTCATGTCTTTGGGTGAAAAGAGGGTATCATCCTTTTCTTAACTCAGAGCTGCTGCTGAGAAATGTAGTCTTCCTTGGTGTGTGAGGACTGGGGTCTGAGTGCTCCCAGGGGAGCACCTGAGGGAGACATGGAGGGCTGGCCAAGACCATTCTAGAGTCTGGCGTCTACTGTTCAACCAAGAGAATCCTTCTCTTTTACCAGAGTTACCTTTAGGAAAAATTAAGTAATGTTCTATTTGAAAACATCCTTTAAAAGCATCTATTTCCTTTACCTTGCTTCTGTTTTTCCAAAAAGGAATTCTTGAGTAGGTAATATTTGCACATGTAATCAATTTAAAAGGTAACAAATATGAAAGTGCACAAAATAGAAATCTACAGTAAAAGAATTTCTCTCCTCTTTGTGCCCCACAGATCCAGTTCCCTTCAGCAGAAGCAACCACTGTTACTTGTTTCTCATGCCCCCGTCCAGCGATACTGCAAGGATATCCAAGCATGTAAGTGCACATCCATGTACACCCACAAATATGCAGCCTGTTTCCACATTGATTTTTTTCAGTTTATCTTGGAGGTTGTTGCTGAATTTATTCCTAGATATTTCATTAGACCACTCCATATGCACTCATGTTTTTCTCTATTTTTCTATGATAATCTCTTTAAAGTTTCTTTTCAGGGGTCACATTTGCAAATTGACCTGTTTTCCCAGGAAATTATCCGTTTCATCTATATCACCAGAGATAAGACTGGGAAATTTGACAAGTGAGCAGAAGGAGTGAATCAAGCTGACCAGAGAGAGTAGGAGCCCCAGGCGTCACAAAGTACCCATCGGAAGTGAGTTATTCATTTAAACTGACAGTAATTTGCTCCATTTTGTGGTGTTCTGCAGCCATTCCTGGAGAGGTTGGTATACAAACTGTTCAGTTTTTGAGGTGTGTGTGATGAGAGGAGAGAAGGGTAAAACAGGTAAAGACAGTGGCAGGGGAATGATGATATTGAGAAGTCATGGATTGTAAGTCATGAAGATTTAAGTGATGTTAAGAGAGGACAGATGAACACAAGGAAAAAATAAGTAGCTGGATTAACAGATTGGCGGCCTTCACAAGGCTGAAGAATTCCTGGCAAGACAGGAAGATGTGATCTAAAAATTGTATCTGCAAAATCATGATTTTTGGAAGGGGTGCAGGGACTTGGAGATGAAATCATGGGCACATGGGCTGAAGTGCAGCTAAGAAAGGTCAGAGTTGATGGGCAGGGCGCTGGGTGAGCAGCTTATCTGCATCTGGGAGTTACTAAGCTCAATGACATGGATTGCAAGAGACAAAGAGACATGGATCAGGTGCTAAAGTCTCTGGTGAACAAGGGAAAGTGACAGAAGAGGAAGGGTAGGGGAATAACTGTTGGAAGCAGCAATGGCTAACAAGAAGGACCATTCTTCTCCCATCGGGCCCTGAGCTGTGGGAGAGTGAGAGGCACACAATTGCCTGGGGTCTCCACTCAGGCCAAGGGTTACAGGAACTACTAGGGGAGCATTTGAGGACATGGATGAGTCTGCCGGTCACTTAGTGGAAGTTCTTGGTGGTGGAGTGTAGGGGTTGGGAAGGAGGGAAGGAGTAAAGTGTTGGTTAATGAGGGGATGTATAAATAGGCTTTTATTTTTTTAAACAGCACTAACATTGCTGATTGGTAAATATTTCTAGGACAATATTGTCTGTGTTATATTTTGTAAAACTGCCTGAGGTTTTCTTCATCTTAGATATGGTCATTTTTTGGTGAACTTTCATTGTGAATTGCATCTTTTATCATTACAAGTTATCTTCCTTTATGTAATTTAATGCTTTCTTCCTGAAATCAGCCTTTACTGAGGT